CAGTAATGCTCTGAACAGCAATTTGATTAATTAAATAAGCTATTCGCTTTGTTGATTTATCTCAGGTACAAGTATCGTCCAGTCGATGGTCATTTACTAATGCGCAGGCAGCGAATCTCGATTATTCCAATGAGACTTTTTGCTTTTTTGTGCTCGTTAATATTTAGTTTTAAAAATTCCAAAGATACATGAATAGAACATAATGTTCCTGCGGTTTTGGCAGCTGTTCATCGATTCACTGTCTGATTTCGATCAGCCAGTTTTATATGTCGCATGTCTTTCTGGTTCGTTCATCTGATTGAAAATCGAACCAGTCTAAATTTATGGGATCATTATATGAGGTGTAAGGTTAAAAGTTTGCTTAGAAAGTGTGCCTACTGGATAGCAGATTTGATAGGTAAGTTACTGTGTGTCTATTCTGATTGACGAAAGCAGGGCATTTGCTGAAACATTGCTCTAGACAATAAAATGATGTGAAATTCATTAATTCCATAACAGTATCGTATCGCCATCTAACCTGATTTTGTGGGAGTATCCTCATTAACTAAACATTTAAGTCAGTACGTAATTTAATAAGCAGATAAGTAAGCAAATACATATGGAAGTGATTGGATGAAATAATTATGTTAGTCTGTAAGTAGATTGCTAAATATGTTTTTGGAAGCAAATTAGAAACTACTTAAGTAACTGAACACGAAGTAAGTAAATAAGCAACTAGATGGTCAGGAACAAGGAAGTAAGTCAGTAAGAAAGTAACTGATTAAGCAAGCATTGGGAAAGTGCGCTACTCATCAAATAAATAGGCAGGTACGGAAAGAAGCAATAAGTGTGTAAATGAGCGAGCAGAGTGAGTAAGCAATAAACAGGCAAGGAAGTGAGAAAGGTAGGAGGCAAAAAGGCAGCAACAGGCAGGTGTTCTTGCGAAAATGAATAGATAGGCAACAAAGAAAACAAATTAGTGAAGAGAGAAGCAAGTAAATAGCAAGTAAACAAGCAATTCGGTAATTTCGTGAATGAGTAGGCAAATAAATAAAAGTTATGTATGTAGCTCAGTAAGTAGGTGGACAAGTAATTAGATACTTTAAGTTTTTTGACTGTAATAACCGAAGAGTGTTACCTATTTATCATCAGCTCGAATGAATTGCCAACAAGAGAAAAATTGCGAACGCGAAATTTTACCCATCTTCTTTCGCAAAATAGCGAAGAATATGGGTTCATATGCTGGAGTATATGTATAGTGCTTAACTGTGTTATATTAAATATTTACAATGATTATATGATATAATTTATATTACCGAATTTCACACAGTTGTTTCTAGAGGCTTAAATGGAGAGGAATATTTAAGCAAGCCATGGCTACATGGCGTTTGAACATCTGCCGTGCCAAATGCAACTCTTATCATTTTATTGTCTGAAGCAATACATCATTATCTTCATTCTTCCGTTATGAGA